TAATTACCTTAAAATAAATAAATAAATAAATAAACAAATAAATAAATAGAAGTACAGGGCTGGTGTTTGCTTCAGCAGCAAATAGAGTAAAATTGGAAGGATACAGAGAAGATTAGCATGTCCCCTGCACAGGATGGCACACAAATTTGTGAAGTGTCCATATTTTTACAAAGGCAAGAAAGAAAGACCAAGATTGTAAATTTTGGTGGTGGAAATGTAATAATTAATTTTCATTAAAAAAAAGAAAGAAAGAAAGAAAGAAAGAAAGAAAGAAAGAAAGAAAGAAAGAAAGAAAGAAAGAAAGAAAGAAAAAGAAATACAGAGTTAGAGAGATGCCTAAGCAATTAAGAGCACATACTGCTCTTGGAGACACCCAAACTCAGTTGCCAGCATCCACATCAGGACGCTCACAGCAACCTGTAATTCCAGCTCCAAGGAGATCCAATGCCCTCTTTTGGCCTCCTTGGACATGTATGCACTTGCTCACTCACGCATGCACACACACACACACACACACACACACACAATTAAAATATAAAATAAAGTCAGGTGTGGTGGCAGATACTTTTAATCCCAGCACTGGGGAAGCAGAGGCAAGTAGATCCCTATGAGTTTGAGGCCAGTAAGGCCTCATACATAGTGAGACCTTGATTAAAAAACAAACAAACATACAATAACAACAGCAACAACAACAAAAAACCCCACAAACCACCACCAAAAAAAAAAACAAAACACATATGGCAGTACCCAACCCAGAATAACATAAAAAGGAGGGACTATTGTCCCTTGGTTCTCTGGTTTCTGCCTAGAAATCCAAACACTGGCTGGGTCTGGAATTAGCCAGGTGCACAGAAGAGTCATTCTTGGGAAATCCTACTTGGTAACAAAGTCCAAGCAGCAAGGTCTGCAAGTAAGGCATGGCATTGACGCTCTTGTGCACAGGGATCTACAATCCTATTATCTAGAGTAAACTAAGTCACTCAAAAATACAGAAAACCAGTCACTGTGACTAAGATTCATCAGGAAATTCCACTGAGAAAGTTGAACCTAGGGCAGGGGTGCTGCTCACAATAGAGCACTTCCTCACAAGCAAGCACGCTGCCCGGGCTTTCAGTCAGCAGCACCTCAAAAATGTCTCATCTAGCTGGGTGTGGCGGCACAGGCCTTTAATCCCTGCACTTCAGGGGGAGGCGGGTGGAACTCCATTTGACCGTGTACAACCTGCACAGCTGTGAGACAGTGAAGGAAACTTAGGCATCAATGG